ACACACACACAATCTGTTGCCAGGCCAGTCAAGGAAGAGCTGTGGGGTACTGGGAGAACGCGAATGGCAAAAGAAGGAAAGGAGGCAAGAAGAAAAGAGGAGACCGCCGTTTTCCACTGTGACTCCGCTTGCGCGGCGGCGGCTAATTGAGCAGCAGCAGCAGCAGCAACGGCCGAAAACAATATTCCTCGTCAGTCTGTCTGTCGGTTAATTGGCCATGTGGCTAGTCTGCGTCTAGTGGTGTTGCTGATTACGAAGACAAAGACGACGATGACTACACTATGACATTGTTAAAGAAAAAGGAGACAGACAGACAGTCATACAGAATAAGAGCGGTTCAAGGACACAGGTGGTGGTGGTGGTGACAGCTACAAATGTGAAACAGTTCAGCACAGAGGAAAAACTGAATTAAAAGGCACTTTATTGAAATCTCATGAAAAGAACGATCAATTGGTCAATAAGGAAAGTAGTATTGTTCAGATAAACTTTTTTATCAAAACTTTTTACAATGAACTTCTTCCTCTTCTTCTTCTTTTTCTTCTTCCTCCTCCTCCTCTTCCTCCTCCACCTCCACCTCTATCTGACGGTGACGATGATGGTATTTGTTCGGCAAAACATCAAAGTGTATACCCTTTGGGTTGTTGTCCTTGCGGAAGATAATAATAATGTCCTTGACGTCGGCGACCAGGCGGTAGTCGCTGACACCCATGTACAGCTCATTCCCCGGATGGTTCCAGAGATCGATGGTCACCCACTCTCTCCAGTACCGCCACGTGGAGCAGGGCCCGTAGTGGCCGGTGACGCCGAAGCCGGTGAAGAGAGAGGGCTCTTCTAGGTCCGGGACAATGTCGCCCATCACCAGGTTCACCTGGTAGAAACGTCGCACTCGCTGCTGGGCGTCACTGGGAGAGCGGGCAAGTGCAGGCGAGTCGGTCATCAGGTGAAAGTAACCGCCGCCACCAGCCTCAGCTAGACCGCTTCCAGCCGGTATCATGTGAATTGCAGCCTGCCCTTGGAGACACTGAAAGTCAGCTCGCAATTTAGGTACAGTGAAGGTTGTCATTCCAAAGGGAGGCTCGCTGAGGATGAGGTGAGTCTACAGAAGGAAGCGGTGACGAGTTGCAGGAAAATGGAGTGTTAGGTTTCTAAATCATTATTTTTGATTGCCTTTCTATAAGAAACTTACCACTCCAATGAGCGAGACCCGACTGCTTTGATTGAGCTGATTCGATTCCTCATTCAACTGAGGTTGTTGATCGGTTTGAGGTTCAAGGTGGTCACTACCCATTGTTTTAATGCCAATAATGAGGTGGCGCTCATCGATGTTGATGCCCTCACTGCGCGTCGTCAGCAGGTGCAGGAAGAGCGCCGGCCCGAGCAGCAGCGGTGGCCACTGGGGATTTAGCTCCTCATTGAAGGGAGTGAAGGTGCTGTCCTCCACGTCGATGATGCAGAGCATCTGTCTGATCTGCGGCTGATTGTTGCGCCAAGGGTCGAGGGCAATCACCTCTGCCTGCACGTACAGCAGCTGTGCCTCCTCGTCGACAGTCACGGCGTTCCAGCGGCAGAGGTTTTGAAGGTCAGGAACGGCAGAAAGGGGACGGACGGCGGCGGGATCATTGCCGAACTCATCATCATCAGCAGCAGCAACTGACTGGCTCGGCCGTAGATCAATGTACTTGGGCGGTGGTAGGCGGCGATGCTCAAAATTCAGCTCCACCAGGGCGACGCTTCGGCGGCTGGCGAAGAAGAACACCAGTTGATTGCTCCAGGGAAGGTAGGCGAAGATGCGGCTCTTCCCCGGCACCAGGTGCTCTGAAATGTGAAGGTCCGGGAAGTAGAGAAAGAAGACCCCGATAAGGTAAAGCCTCCGGCGGCGGCACCAGCGGGTCAGTAAGTAGGCGCTGCGCTCGGGATCGTAGGTGACGCTCACCACAAAGTCTGCCGTCAGAAAGTAAAAGGTGGAACGGTCCAGTTTTAAAGCTGTGTGATGGAGTCTCTTGATGGTCTCTACAAATGGTTGGTTAAAGATTGCTAAATAGGTGTGCTGTGGTTTTGTAGTTGACATACCTTTGGTGTATTTAGGTGGTTCTTGTGGAGTGTTGTCATCGACAATCTCGGTGGAAGAATAATCAGAGTCAGAAATAGGACCATCATCATCATAATCAGCAACAGAAGCAGTTGATGAGCCACGTTTATGTGATACGTGATTGTTGCGTAGTCTATTACCGCCTCGCTTCTTAAACTTCTTTTTCGGTGCCATGACCGGTGTTGCTGCTGCTGCTGCTGTTTCAGGTTCAACTTTTAAGGTTTGTCTGAAACAAAGACACGTAGCCAGCGGCAAACTGTTGAAGCAAATGAAAACACTGAGCGCGCACGCCGTCTGGTACTGAAGTCTGCTGAGAGTACTGTTCCACAGAGGAAAAGAGAGAGAGAGCGGGGATTGAGGAGAGAACACGCTGTTAGGGGTGCCCTCACTGCACACACACATTGCCCATGTCTGTTGGGGTTAAACGAAGTGAAACAGGAGAAAGAGGAACGCTCGTTCGGTGTTGTCGTGCGCTAAAACAAATGAGAGTTAAAGGCTGCTGAAAAAGGGAGCTAATGAGTAGAGTACCCTCCTCTCAGTTACTGTCCTGGCAACTGGCCAAATGTTTTTTTTATTAGCGTTTGAAGCGACGGCCAGTTTGCACTGCAAAAATGATGGTTTTTGCTATTCCAAGTCCTGAAAAAGGAAGACAGCATTCTGGTTCGTTTGGGTTAAGATAAAAAAGTAAACGACAAACAGTCAGCGGCGAAAAAGTGTGTGAAAAAAATGCAAACTTGTTGGAATATGTTCAAATTAGACTGAATTTTTTAATCAAAATGTGACCCCCATTGTTGTCTACCTTGGTTACCAAGCTTTGTAGAGTTTCGTGAACTTAACAACAACCAGAGCAGTGTTTGATATAGTTATATGAACACAATACTCCCTTTACTTTTCTGGTAACTGGCCTAATATGTTTCATTAGTATTTGTAGTTGCATTTTTTTTCCTTTCCCTTGAATATTTCTCAAACCCACCAAACACTTTAGAGTTCACGTCTTTCAAAGCCATACACTTGAAAACGGAAGCACGAGTTTGCTTCAGAGTTCACAGAAAAACATTCAATGCTAAAGCTTGTACTACTTACAAATTCTAATTTAATGTCCTGAACAAAAAACAAAAGTATCATATATAAAACATTTTCAAAACTCATTAATCACAAAGTTAAATAAAAAGCGTTTTCAACATAGCGGAATTCATAAAAAATTTTAAAAATGGCAGTTGTAAGTGCTTCGCAGCAAAACTTTTCTGAAACAAAAAAAATAAAATAAGAGAGCCTTTTTACTGAGAAATTTCACTGACATTAAATATCATCAGCAATTTCAATGTCTTCCGCAAGTGATCTAAGTGTGAACGCCTTCGCCAAAATCCTTCTTACCACCATCTTCCTCAACACTAAAGCCAATAATCTGCACTTCTACTGGCAGTACCTGTCCACGGCACGGGCGCTTTTGGAGGTCGGACCAGGTCAAAGATGGCTAAAAACTGTCGTGATAGTGAACCTTTTAGCCCTGATTGTGTTTATGGGCCACTTCGCAACCCTAGCCTACCACCCACCGACGACAGTGTGGGCGGTGGTGCAGCAGGCGGACGTCTTTCAGGCGCACCTTGGCGTGGGCACGGCTGTGTAAGTGAGAGAGTGTGAAAAAGAGTTACACGAAAACGATTTTTATTTTTTTCAATTTTTTTCATTTCATATTTTCAGCTCCACAGTCCGCCTGCTGTACTTCGTAATGCTGGCTTTCACCTTCATGGCGGCCAGCTTTTGCAATCACTTCTACCTAAGGGTTGACCCACTTTTAGTGGAGCACTACACGCATCTCCTCTTTGAGCAGAACGCCTACAACTGGCTTCGACCGACACTTCGGGGAGCCTCGGTGAAGAAGGCCGTCGTCGACTTTGCCTGTCGCCTAGTGTTCATCTTTCGACCTCTATTTCCCCTCACACTGCTCATCACCACCTACAGCTCGGTGGTCTTCGTGGGGCCGCTGTGGCAAATCGCCGATCAGCTTCTGGCCAGTCCGGCATTAGGTGCATTGGCAATTGTTGCTCACCTGCTAAATCTTCTCCTCTTCACCGTCGCCTTCTTCAACATCCTCTACATGGCCATTCTGGCCACTATCCTCGGCATGACCGGCCTGAAGGCGCTGTACATTCACGCACTTCAGCACTTGGAGCTGCTGGAGCAGGCGGTGAAAATTAGAAAGGCCAAGCAAACCGGTTCACTTCTTCGGCAGTTCATCAGCCACGACAACGTCCTTTTTCGGTACATCTTCCTCGCTGACGGCCACTTCAGCGGCATTCTCCTCACCTTTCTGCTCATCGCCACGCCCATCAGCGCCACTCTCTCTATGAAGCTGCTGCTGGCACGGGCTCTTGATCAGCTGACTCGAGGCTACATTCTGGTGATCGTCGTGGAGACCTTCATCGGCATTCTCGGCGTCCACCTCTACATTGCCCTCTTCACGAAGAAGTTGTACAGGTCGGGAAAGTACCTGCTGACAATGAAAGCCTCCAGTGTCAACTTTAACCTGCCCTTTTGGCAGCAGCTTCAGCTGCACCGGGCAATTGAGCGCCTGCACTCTAATGTCAAGGATGGCATTCACTATGGCTCACTGGGGCAGGAAGTCAATTTGATGTCCTTTGCGCAGGTATCTGGCTATCTGGGTTACTTTTCTTGATAAAAACAGCTTTTTATCATTTAGAGCTTCCTCCTCTACGCGGAGTTTCTCATGTACGCCCACCAGCTGATTACTAGAAACTAGATGAATTAGCTTTTACATATGTATAAAAGTGTGTTTATCAAAATATTTTAATGTGTTTTAAGCAAATTGACTTTCTATCTCTTATTTTGCACTGTTCTGTTTCACGCGAAAATCATCTTGGCGAGAAACATCGCCTGCAGTGGCATTGTCATCGTCGCCATTCCCGTCACCCACTCAAAGAGGGCGGTATTTCGCTTGTGGTAGTAGGCAGGGTCGCCGGCCTTGCGCATCTTTGAGTCGATCATCTCCGGCTTTACCTTCTTCAGGTCCCATGCCCAGCCCATATAGTGGAAGAAGTCGATGGCAGCTGTTGCAGGGTTGAAGACGTCCGCCGGTCCTAGTTCACTGGCCGAGTAGTCCCAGGGAAAAGCGTGGTGGTAGTTGTGGAAGCCTTCGCCCATCAGCAGATGGCGAATGGAGGCCTCGACGGCGGCCAGTTTCTGGTCGTAGGGTTTGTAGCCGTAGATGTGCGCCCAACCTAAAAATTTTGGTAAAATCAATCTTGTTTCCTCAAAACAAAACACCACCGATCACTTACTGTTGACAAACCAGGTCAGATTGAGCGATGTGACGTAGCGGGCAAAGACGCACACCGAGCCGGCGACGATAAAGTCCTCGCCCCAGCACAGTACCGGCACAAAGGTGGGAATGGCGCCCCAGAAGATCGCCACCAGCGGAATGTAGAAGGTCTTCTGGAAGGAGACAATCGGGTCGGCTAGCAGGTCACTTAAGTCCAGGGTGGCACCGCGTCGCTTCACCTCGGGGTGCTTTTTCACCAGAAGCCAGCCCTGATGGTAGATTTGAGAGTATTTAGTGCTGAGATAACAGATCTTTTTGTAAAAAAAAGTTTACCACATGGCTGAAGAAGAAGCCCTTCGAGGAGTCATGAGGGTCGCCGTCAGTGTCGGCGAACTAAAATCGAATGAAGGATCAAGATTAACTTTGAAGTTTTAAAACCAAACAAAAGCTCCTTGTTCAGCTTAAAAACAATCATTACGTACCTTGTGGTGGGCCCGGTGGTCTCTGCTCCACTCGTAGACGTCGTTTTGCAGCGCCAGCACGTGGCAAAGCGAGAGAAAGAGGCGAACGCCAAAGTTGGCTTTGTAAGACTGTTGTGCAAAGAAAAAGATAGCGTGAAATCAGATGAAGATGCTAAACCGAAACACTCTCTTTTACCTTGTGACACCACAGTCGATGAGCGCCAGCCTGCACTCCAAGTGTGCCCAGCAACAGCAGCGCATACGCCCAAATGAGAGTGGCCACCTGGGCTCGAGGAACGAGCAGGTAACCAAGGGCGGCACCCAAGTGCAGGCCAATCATGCCGAAGATATTCAGCCAGACGTACTCGTACTTTCGCGTTGGATAGAAGTTGAAAATGGCCATCGAAAGATCCTTCACCACTGAGGGTGACTTGCTTGTGGCGGCGGTAAGTGATTTTTCTTCCGTTTTTTCTAGTACTTTCTNAGAGTGGCCACCTGGGCTCGAGGAACGAGCAGGTAACCAAGGGCGGCACCCAAGTGCAGGCCAATCATGCCGAAGATATTCAGCCAGACGTACTCGTACTTTCGCGTTGGATAGAAGTTGAAAATGGCCATCGAAAGATCCTTCACCACTGAGGGTGACTTGCTTGTGGCGGCGGTAAGTGATTTTTCTTCCGTTTTTTCAAGTACTTCAACTTCATCTTCCTTTTCCTCTGGAATGCTGTCAATATCCGTTTCAAAGAGTGCGTAGGTGATCTCCCGGTGTGCTGATAAAGTAAAATGCGCTGTCTTTTGTTTGCCGCTGATGGATGATTTTCTTTGGTGCAGCTCCGGTTCTAGGTCGGCTTGGCCAGATTTAGCCGTCGTACAGACGGACTCGTGGCCGGACAGTGTTTCGGTGATGACCATTTCTTTTCCTATCAGAAAGTTAGTTTATCACAAAAGACTGAAGTGAACTTTTTCACTGAAAAAGAAACGCTAGTGATGATGATGATGAGATTGAAGTAACACAGAGTTTGATGATGGTCATTTTGCCTATTTATATGCCTCTTAAACTGGCCAGCCAACAAAATCAGCTGAGTACC